ATTAAAAATTTTATTTTTATTCAAATTTCATTTCAAATTAGATTGTGCTCTTTTGATTTTGTTGCTTTATATTTCTTCCTTTTGATTTTGTTGCTGCACCCTGAAGCTCAGAAAGTCATTTCTAGATTTTACACATCAATAAAACACTTTAAAGTATAATTTTATATTTCTGATTTTATTGCTACATCTTTTTCTTTATTCCCATTTTGTTGTTGCAAGTATTTAGTTTTTACGTTTGCGCTAAACAGGTATGTATGAATATAAAAATAATAAAAATTTTTAGTCATATGTTTCATAACACAATTTATTTTTGATATACAGTCGATTCCGGTCAATTGGAACACATGGGGCCGTATCATTTCATTTCAATTAAGTGGCTGCCTTAATTGTCCGAAGTTTGATTTGAAATAAAAAAAAATTATTTTAGTATTTTACAAAGCTATGACTTATTTATTTAAACAAATTAAATAACAAAAAAATGTAAAAAATAAATTTAACATAATATATTTTTCATGTTAATTTTTATGTGCTTCCATTTTCCTATATAGTTTCTATTACTATCACAAGAACGATTAACTTACCATCTCTATTCGACATAAGCAAACTGAAATAGCGTAGCATGTAAACATGCGATTAATATTATCCAACATTAAATGTTATAATTTTTCTAATAAACCTTCTAAACCCTGCATGAGACGTTTGCCAAATTTGACGGGTCCCAATTATACGGTGTGCTATTCCAAATAAGCAAAGAAAAGCCTAGTCATTTTATCAATTGGGATTTGTTTTTCAAGATATGTCCCAAATAAACAGCTGCCTCAATTAACCGGAATCGACTGTATATAAATAAATATGGATTTACATGATTTTTTAATTGGTTTTTCCTTCGCGAGATCGTTGCATTTGATCCAATGATTGTTAGATCGGAGACTGATCGTCGCATAATGTCCCATTTATGAAAAAATCCACATGTTAACATATTAGGTGTTCGAAAATTAACTACACTTAAATAAAAATTTGTCAGGGGCAAAAAGAGCCAAATACGTCAGATTTTAATGCGATAAGTCACATAATCACATTAAAAACATATACAAACGTGTCGACCTGACATCAGACCTTCTTCAGTGTAACAATGATATAAAAATCGCACGCAATTATTTAGAGGATAAACAAATTAAGGTATAAAATTATGTATTAACGCAGCGCATAAACTAGTACGGAGTCAGCAGATAAGAAATTTTATATTGTAATAAATTCATGTTCAAAGTAATAACCAAATCGTAAAGACGTTAAGATGGAAAAGTCAAAAGTAAAAGAAACATCTTAATCAAAAGTTAAAATGTTAATGAACATTAATATTTTGTTTATTAACATTTTAACTTTTGACCAAGATGTTTCTTTTACTTTTCTTATACTGATGTCAGGTCGAGACGTTTGTATGTTTTTAATATGACTTATCGCACAAAAATCCGGCTTTTCGTTCTTTTTGCTCCTGATAAATTTTTATTTGATTTTCTACCATTTGAGCTTTTATATATTTCTCATTATTTTAACTACACTTAATTGTATTCTCCTATTTCTAAACAATTTGTTTTTATTTTAGGCAAATTTTGTAATTTGATTGATCTGGTTTCATTTTTAACATTATAAATGTCAAATATAACTGCAGGACCTAGAAAGACATTATTATAAATTACCATTTTTAAAAAAATTTAATTATATAAAAATCTATCTAGGAACATTATTATTTCAAAAGTTGTTGCATTCAAAAATAATTAATAAAAGTAATTTTTAAAAGTAAAAAGCGTAAAGCAACAAAATCAAAAAGATACAAACCGTTAAAATATTTGATAAAATTAAGATTTCGAGCTGTTACATTGATGCGGGGTGATTTGGAGTAGATTTTCTCAGGAAAGGGATAAAGTAACAAATTTGAGAATAGAGCAACTAATTAGTAACATAATAGCGCTAACAAAATGTACATGTTTTTCATTTTTGATTTTCTTTCATGTGGTTATGCTAACTTAAAACTTAAGCTTTTATTTAACAAAACGGCTGGAGCAACAAAATTGAAAATGCAGCAAAAATTTAATAACAAAATAGCATTAAATTTTGGTATATATTTCATTCGATTATGCTAAAATGTGTTAATAGATGTATTGCAATATACATATAATTGTGATTATACATATAAAATAATCTGATTTATGTGTAAAAGATCTTACTTTAAAAAATTCTAGTTTTGACAGTCTTACAAGAAGATAAAAATAATATATTTTCAGGGAATTGCTACAGAGATAATAATTTATTATGTAATAATACGTAGAAAGATACAGTTTTTGTTGGTTCATAATTAATAATTGTAATATACATCGAAATTTTGAGCAATTCTACATAATAACATGATCAATAATAGATAAACTTCAATATTTTTGATACAACAGTCGTACAATCCATTTCAATATATGATTAAGTCTCGGTAATTATATCGAACAAAATTCACGTAAATTTGATAACAATAATTATAAATATATACTTATAAATATGGTAACAGTAAAAAAAAGAAATGTAATAATGTACATATTATTTACACCTCCGTTTAAATTTTTTATTTTAGGATATAAATATTGAAATAATGAATAAAAATTATTTTTATTCCTCAAACCTTTTACTATATTAAAATACAAATTGTACGACTACATGACGTGTGTATATATAAATATATTTGTGACTTTAATAAAGAAATTGGATAATGTATCATCAATTAATAGTTAATACATTGTATCCATACGTTGCAGCATGCAACGAATGTAATAATTGTATGCATCATTTATTAGTATATATGTACAAGATGTTTATTTAAGGACGAAATATATAAAATGATAAACACAGCAAATAATTCAAAACGTTAAAATAATGTACACCAATGATTATCAACCGATATACGTACTTCTGAAAACCTATAAATTTTATCTGTCATATTATAAACACTATTGTTATTATTCCAAATATTTTGATTTAAAAAAAAGTAGCTTCGGATAACCACAAGAAAGATATTATAAGCACATTTCAAAGCTTAATAAGAAACAATTACAATATATAACATCCTTTAATAAACTAGTATTTGTATAATCACATATTTTTTTTATTTATTTTGAATAAAAGCATCTACGCATCTCAGAATAATATTCTAATAATAAATACAGTATGTGTTCCAAAGATTTTAAATATGATATGTAGATTTTAAGAGGAAAACAAATCAGGAGCAATTTATTTATTCTGCTGAAATAAGTAGCGTATTACTAATTAATCAAATTTTTGGCACATTTTTAATGTGTTTCAGTCCATTTTTTTTTAACTTATCTCTTAGAATTATTCTATACCCTATTAACATATATATCAACAATACCAAAACTATTATTGTTAACAAAGTCATATGCATATAGAATGAAATTATCGAACATGCGTACTTGCAATATTACTAAAATGACTATACATCGTATATGTATATGTAATATATCGTAGTAAAGATTGCAATATGCATTAAACAAATTTAATGTATCGAAAATTAATGAACGCATATGATTTTGATCTGACAACGTTAAAAATATGTGTGAGATATATTTGAAATAAAAATTACGAGACGATGCGATGACTGATTTATATTAATAGAAGCATAATGGAAAAAATTATCTTCTCTCTTATTTTTGCGACACATAGAATTAAATACATTCTTTATTAATCGCAATATATCAAATCGCATCAATCAATCAGTTAATAAATAAGTGCGAGTCACTGAGTGTCACTATTTTCTTTATATGATAATATTGACTTAGAGGAGTGTTTCTCGAAAGAACGTCACTGATTATATAACAATGCAGATAAATCGATAGCATTTTTGAATTATCATTACAAATGTAATGGTAAATATATTTGTGATTATAAAACTTAGTTACTCTATCTATAAAAATTCAAGTTATGCTATGCATTATTTATTCTGTTTTTCAATCGATAAAATAATAGCACTAATTCGTATAAAGATCCGCATAGTAAAACTTACAAATAATAAATAATGTTGGATTTAACGTCAAATAAGTTGTAATGTACCACAATATTCATGTTCAATATAAGATAATTTATAATGCAAGAGTATAATTCTTCTATAAAAAGAGAAAAAAGATATCCTTCTAATTCTATCAAATCGTCATCGAACAGACCTCTTCAAAACACATTAAAAGATTGTTACAATTTACATAATGTATATATCGTTACGTTACATTAATTCGGTATATATCGAATTCAAAAGTACATATTCATAGTACATATTAAATACGCATCTATATGTGTTTTAAGGCAATAATGTTTCCTATTTCCTCTAGTTTTTCAACACTTTATACATTTATCATCTCTTTCATCTTCCTTCATTCCACACTTTAATTTTCTGCAAATTAAAAGATATTAAAAATACTGTTTTTTCGAGAAAAATATGAAACGAGTTAAATAAACAAATATTTCAGGATATTTGTATATTTAATATAAATGTATATAATGTATATTCAAAAATTTGCAAGAGTATTCTGGAAAGTTTCGTTTACGATTTTCAATATAAACACACACACACACACACACAATTATATGTATGCATGTATGTATGCTGCATTCGAGTTAGAAACTTTTAACTTTAAATCTCTGTAATAAGATTAATATATATTTATAAACTATATTATTAATATCTATTAGCTTGAAAACTATAATCTTTATAATCATATAGAATCATATATAAAAATGCATTACATAAACATAATAATAATAAGACAAACTTAAAATTTTTAATTTAATGTACAAAAATATTAATATTTATATTAATTTTAAAATTTCAGTGCAAAATATTTGCTACTACAAAGTTATAGTAAAATGCTAAAACATAAATATTGCTTTGTGCATATTACAAAATGGTATGTAAAGTAAAATTACACAATTATTTTTACTAAGAAACCTATTTTACAATAATCGCAATGAAAATTATACAAATAGAGACAGATAATATGGAGTTCTATTAAAATATTAACTGCTTAGCCACAGCGTATCAATGTATCATATATTTTTTAGACAATTTATATTACATTATGTGTAAGCTCTCTCTCGCTCTCTCTCTCTCTCTCTCTCTCTCTCTCTCTCTCTCTCTCTCTCTCTCTCATTGTCAGTATTTATGAATACAAAATACAGATATTATTAGTAGTTTAGAGAGTTGAAATAAAATGTTATGCTATTACTGTACTCATATTGTTTAAAGATTTGCCAGAGAAATTATTGTCCCAGAAAATGAAATTAAAAAATTATGGAAGCATAAATATCTAACTCTCCTAAAGCATTTAATAAACAAAAAAATATGGATATGCACAAAGATATCATGCTAAGCTTATATTTTCTAATTTTAGTGTTTCATAAAACTTCGATTGGTACACATCTGAAGTAAACTCTCAATAACCATTGTCCTTAAAATGGTGTAAAAATATACAAATAAGTATAATTAGAAAAATACATAAATTTTACTTTTTAGCCATTCAGCTAAAGCACTACAAAACGATTTTTAATCTTACTTAAAAGTTAATCATAATATCGTCTATGATCTGTTAATATGTTTAAAATACTGATTAAGAAGTAATAGGGGAGCTATAACATAGACAAGATGAGTTTAATATAAAAAAACATTCATTAAATTTAACAGTATCTCTTTTTCTTTCTCTTTCAGTGTCAACTATTAGCAACATACCATCATGTACATTGGCCCCATTGCTATTTAAGGCATAAGTCAAAGAAGTTATTTGTCAATGATATTTGGTTGATCCCAATCCATTTATAAAGTCCAATATTTAAATTTTTCAAGATTTAAGAACAATGCATAAGACAATTTTATGACAAATTAATTCAAATTTTACCAAAACTTTAAACAAAAAACATTCAAAACATTTAGCAAACGTGTGCAACATTTCTATTTCTTTGAATTATGGGCCGTATCATTTTTCATAATGTGTCAGTTTATATATGTGTTAACATATCAAGAGATATGTCTAAATTTCAACTCATAAAACTGTGTGCAATTTGTTTATTTCTTTTTAAATAATATTCATGGCAAATATCAGAAAATTTCTAAATTCATAATAAATTTTGTTTTAACTACATTTTTATTTCAATTGTGGTGATTTATGTCCTACAATCTTATTGCGCAATAAATTAAAATGTCCGTGCACCTGTGTAAGTTGAGCTCTAAGTGAATCAGAAAGCTGTTTCTGTAACTGTTGAACCTCCAAAATTTCTTGACGGAGATTTTGATAATCTTTCGTAACCTGATGGACAGAGTGTAATAGGCGAAGCACAGATATCTGTTGGAAGCATAAAATGAAAAGCAATTTGATGATTGAAGACCCGAAAATATCACAGACAATAAAGTGCATACAAAAAAACTTTCAAACATCAGGTTAGTAACATGTATATTTAACAACGGATGAAATGGAGCACCCTGGCTTCAAGCAGGAATTGTTCAATGAGCGCAATACAATATCATTTATTAAATATACTGTCACAGAGGACTATATAGGTACAATATAATACATTTGTTCTTTTCAGTTGTACTTTTGATATTTTCTTTATATTCCTTTTCCTTCCATTTTCTAGTTAAAATATATTACTATTCTATTTCTATTAAATTTTATTAAATAAATAGTCAGCGATATAAATCTAAAATTTTTTTTTTTTTAGAGAAAATAACTAACAGAATTTTTGTATACTTACATTGATGCATTAATACAAAAGAAAAATGATAGCCTATATTAATCTGTGTTATATTATATACAATAAATTGATTTAAAAAAAGTATAACTAAAAAGAGCAGATTTGATATAGCATAATCTCGTACCCACAATTATCAAAAGCAAAAAGAAGAAAACTCACCTCGCTTTCTGGATCTTCAAAAGCTTTCTCGAAAGCATCTATCTGCCACGCGATCATATCTAGCTTTCCGTCGGCTTTTTGAACCTGTGACACAAGAAAACAAAACAAATTCGTCACCCGAGTTATTTGATATTCGCAAACAGATATCACTATCCACACATCGGCTGATCAACTCATAACATTTTACAGACATGTAATACTTCAAAATATACTCACGCTTTGCTCGAGATTTCCAATCGCTGACTCCATATTTTGTATTTTTCAAGATAATTAAGGTTGTTAAAAGATCGAATATAAATATAAACTACGGATGTAGGAAAAAACAGTTGTTAAGGTCGACAAAAGTGACGGCCTGAGTCCGAACTGATTTTGGTAACCTCATGCGGGAAAATTGAGAAACTCTGAATGACAAGGACAGACACTTTCGTAATCCTTGTCTCTCTTGCAATGCTTTGTTCGAGATACGAGTCCAAGCTGAAAATGCTTTTAAGGCCAATGTCCACGATGCTAGAAATCGGTCCGAGAAACATATAGACAATAAAATTACCTTTTTTCCATAAAAAATGCAAGTTTATTGGTTATACATTTCTCGGACTTACTCGGTTATACATTTCTCTCCAATTATAAATCTTTTGTCCAATAACTAATTGGAAATAATAACACCTAATTTTGTTACAAACATTCATCTGATAATTTAACGGAAAATGTAAGAAATGCCGATATTTTAATTTTTAATGTTGAGACATGGTACATGTTTTCTTACATTTATACTCTATTCTATTATTTTTAATTCTTCATCATTATCACTGTCAGACGATGAATCTATTAATTCTTGCATTATAAGTGCTACTGCTGTTAATATTGCTTTTTTACGGTTTTGTTCCATTTTTATTAGCAGACGCACGCTACCACGCTATGCTATTAAGCTGGTTCTACAATAAGTTGCAAATGCCCCGTCACCGGTCGCGAAGGATGGCAACTACTAATTGGAAAGCGCTATTTCTAGTTATTTTTAGTAAGACGGAGCATTCGCGACTGGCGACGGAGTATTTGCAACTTATTGTAGAACCGGCCTTACTGTTCACGGAGTTCGCAAACGCTAACGCTACCAACCACGGACTAAGGAATAGAGGGACGGAGCACAAGCTGTACCGGGAGAGCACGTTTGCGGCGGGGGGGGCCGCCATATTCGTTTAGTAATCATCACACATAGAACTTACTATTTGCGTATGTGTGAGAAATGAAAGTCAGATCCTGCGCACAATAAACAAAATAGGAAATAGAAATAGGAATAATTATTAAATATTAGAAATAAGAAATTGGAATTATTTATTTAAAAATAAAAGAATAGAAAAAATTAATAGACATGAATTAAGAAATAAGAATTAGGAACTAATTAATATATTTA